TTGCAATTTGCTTATGAAAAAGGTATAATCAATTGGCATTAAAGCAAATCTCCGATACCAGTTGGTACCACAATAGTGATGTTTTATTTGGGTCAAATATTGCTAAATAGATTAGCTTGATCAATTGCGTGGCGATGATATTGTTTCAAACATTTTGGTCAGAACATTTCTATGGTAAGGATAATGAAATTGTATATTGCGCATAGTTGACTTTTTAAAAATGATTAATTTGTCTCATTCTCTGTCTAATGTTTTGGATTAGCAAGACTGTAGTCATTGATAATTAAAATTTAAAAATATTCACCGCCATGGAAGCTTTGAACAATCGACAAGAGGATTGTGCATGTGGTAGGTACAAAACAAATAGAATATGGATCACGATGGTTTTAATTAATTAGCTAATCACTTCCCTGAACTAAAGTAATTAGTAGTAACTTTAATGAAGTAACAAACTAACAATATGTTATACCTCGCAGCTGGCATGCATGAATTTTTTGATGACGAAAAAACGTGTTGGCGTTAAACTACAACTTGTATGCATATTTAATTAGTTTTGTTAGCTTGAAGTTGTGGGTCTATATTTTTTTTTTTGAATATATATATTTTTTGTACATTATCCAGTATACGAAATTAGGGAATCTTTTATAGAAATAGCTTTATTTTTAAACGTAAGAATTTAACTTGGATTTGAATATGATAATGTCGAAATATCATTTTCAATTAATCAAACTAACCGTATTTGGAATACATTATACATGCATAACTCTCTTTAGCATATAGAAATAGTGTATTTTCACAAGACTTATTACTCTTAAGACTACGCTGTTTCTCTATTTTAAAAAAAGTTACATAAATATGTACTTCCAATTTTCCTTAACCATTACATGTAGTTTAGTATAAACTTTCCACATAACCTTTCTGATAGTTTGAAACAATCCTGGTTATATGATATAAAATTAGCATATACTCTTTTGGGTAGTCGGTCGGAAATGTAGTTGGAATGTATTCTAAATTTGAAATATATTTGACAAAGTATGCATAATCGTATTTTTTAACAAAAAAAAAAAGGTATGCATAATCGTATAGTCTAAAAAGTATGTAATAAAAAAAATCGACTGTCATGCATACTTTGTCAAATAAAATCAATCCGTAGAGAAAGATAACGAGGTTTAATGGTTATATATAGTCTTATAGACTTGGTCCTTTTCAAAATTTCAATAAACTATTTTACTTGCCACACAATATTGTTATAGTATTTTACAAAAGATAATGTACTGAGATTTGCGTAAAATGGTATTTACGAAAAAATTCAAAGTATATTATTGACAGAAATTATCAATTTTCAAATTTTTTTTTTTAATAATAACTAGCTAGTTTTATGAACTTATGAAATCCGTAAGGACAATCTTAACAAAATTTCGATGAAACGATTTAACAGTAAAAATTATAATACTAAAAATCGACATCTATATTGATTGGTAAAGAAGGATGGCTACTTTGCGGTGGAGAAAAAGAAGAAGCATACGATTGAATTGACTGAGTGAGGGTGTCTTGTTTAATGAAACCACCAAGAGACAACTTCGATGCCTTAATATCATTGACTAGCTTTTTATTTTATTGTCAAAGTCAACCACTATAAAAAAATAATTACCCCTTATTATATTATTCATGTCAATCATTTTCCACTAATGATTAGATTCATTTTCATACAGTGAATTCAAACTGATTCATTCCAAATCTTTATTGACTTCACATAT